AAGAGTCCAGTGATCAAAAGCATGTGGCACCTGAATTACCCTCCAATCCCTAGTGGTGGTCTTTTCTGGTGAGATTTAGGACTGTTTGCCAGGAAGCATGGAAGAGTTTCTTGTTGTTAATTACATTTATTATAACAGTGTCCAAGGTCTTACCAACATCAGCCCTGTTGCACTAGGTGCTATAAAAACAATACAAAGTGATAGATAGCTTTGCCCCCAAATAGCTAGGACAGACCATGTGTAGGGGAAAGGGATGCAACATACAAGTAGAGGGATCAATATGATTGTGGCCAGTGTTATGTTAGTTCCACAGTTTGTGAAGATAGGTTAGCAAGGAGGAGAATTAGCTCAGTGGAAAGACACAGAAAGGAAGAGTGCAGAGAAGCACGGAGCTAGTGAGATGATGAGGGAGATAAGTGAGGAAAAAAGGCATTGGGACAGATGCAGAGTGATGCTGAGGTGAACTTTGCACCAAATTCCCCTCTCTTGTTGGGACTTCAGTTTCCAGGGCTCTCAGTTCAGCATCTTTAAACTCCCCCAGAATCAAACCAACCATGTCTTATTGAAACTGACCATGCCTGGCTAATGCAAGACTAAATCGGGCCTTCACTCTCACTGTGTACTTGGTCATTCAGGAGGAGAGTCTGGGAGGAGGGCGCGTCACCTGAATTCCAGTTCCCTCTTTAGCATGGGAATGAGTCCAATCCATCATCAAATTCTTCATTGCTTCTGTGCACCAGTGAGGAGAGGGCTAATTAAATGCAACAGAAGGTGATGAGCAGATTTCATATTGCCCTGGGCAGCATTGGCAGTGATCATTGGGCAGTAACCAATTGAGTCTTCAGTGTTAAAGAAAGCAGCAGATAATAGCGAGCTGGACTCCGATGAATGAAAATGTCAACTCTTACAATGAGATGTACGTTTCCCATTGCTTCTCCAGCCCAATTGCAGGATTAGTGCCCACAGACAGACACAATTACTCATGAGAGATGAGCTCGCATCTTTGAAATCTTACTGAGAAAAGGCTCAGGGAACTAGCCCAGCTAAATGTTTTCCTTGATTAAAAATGTTAAATTTTAAGCATTATTGATTCAAGCCTGCACCCTTTGGCAAGTACATGGAATAGAAATAATCATGATTATAAAGAGAAGAGAAGAACCACATACTGTGACAGTTTTGAAAAAGAGATGGCTCGGGATTAGAAATGCTAGAAAGCCTGTCATCTCTAATACAAGTGCTTCATACGATACAAAAGGCCACTTACTGTAGTCATGTATGTTACATGGGCACCTGTGAAAACTAGGTGGTCTCCCACATTATTTTATTTTCAGCCATCAAGTTGCAGTTCAGTTTTAGAATCATAGAAGATCAGGGTTGGAAGAGACCTCAGGAGGCCAGCTAGCCCAGCTCTCTGCTCAAAGAAGGACCAACCCCAACTAAATCATTCTACTCAGTGCTTTATCAAGCCTAGTCTAAAAACCTCTAAGGATGGAGATTCCACCATCTCCCTAACTAACCTATTCCAGTGCTTCAATCACTCTCCTAATGAAGTAGTTTTTCCTAATTTCCAACCTAAGGTGTGTCTCGACTACATCCCTTTTTCAAAAAAGGGATGTAAATTAGGCACATCGATATTGCAAATGAAGCCGGGATTTGAATTTCCTGTGCTTTATTTGCATAATGGCGGCCACCGCTTTTTTTTGAAACAGGGCTTTTTTGAAAAAAAAAAAAACGGCAGTTTAGACTGGGATCTTTTGAAAATAAAACCCTTTTTCAAAAGATCCTATATCAGAGGTCAGACTAAGATGATCATACTGGTTTGTTCTGGCCTTACAAATGAACCTTCTCTGAATCTGTAATATCACGTTGCATGGTTTATAAAAGTAACGTGCTTTTAGAGGGAAATTAATTTAAAAGGAGTAATGTTAATGGCACTGGTGTGCTTGAAAGTTAGTTTCTGTGGGAATAATCCACAAAAGTCACTGGGCCTCTGCCTCTATTACTGACTTTCAGTTAATATTTAAATGAATTTTTTTTTAGTATTTTTAAAGTGATACTACAGGAGTTAACAGTGTTTAAGTACAACTTCTGTTTAAGCAGGCTAGTTTATTTTGTATTAATTTGTTTTAACATCAATCCTTAATCTTTCTAGGATTGTAGATGATGAAATTGAGGCCACTATTGAAGAGGTATGTCTTCTTTTTTCACCTCTTAATATTGCTAATTGAATTGTTTCTACTACAGACAGAACCTTGATAGTTAAGGATTCAATTTTGTCACTGAAGTAATGAAATCTGTGACTTTCTGGGACTACTTCTGGGGCAGGGCTGAAGCAGCAGCTGGGGTTGGGTCATCTCCCCCTTCAGCTTGTGTATTGACAGTTAACCCCTGCTGCAGGAGTGACCACAGGGCTGGGTAGTTACAAGCTTCCTTTGGGTATGTCGACACTAGCCACCCGAGATCGAACTAGGGTGGCTGATGTAGTCATTCGAACTTGCAAATGAAGCCCAGGATTTAAATATCCTGGGCTTTATTTGCATGTTCCCAGGCACCGCCATTTTTAAATGCCCGGTAGTTTGGACTCCCTGCCCGCAGCTACACGCGGCACGGGCTATGTAGTTCGAACTAAAGCCCCTAATTCGGACTACCGTTACTCCTCCTGCAATGAGGAGTTGAGTAACGGTAGTCCGAATTAGGGGCTTTAGTTCGAACTACCTAGCCCGTGCCGCGTGTAGCCGCGGGCAGAGAGTCCAAACTACCGGGCATTTAAAAATGGCGGCGCCCGGGAACATGCAAATAAAGCCCGGGATATTTTAATCCCGGGCTTCATTTGCAAGTTCGAATGACTACATTAGCCACCCTAGTTCGAACTCGGGTGGCTAGTGTAGACATACCCTTTCTTTCCCCAGTTCCTTCACCCCCAGATATTTTTAGTAAAACGGATGGGTTGCAGGTTTTCATGAACTTTTCTTTATTGCCCACAACTTGTCCCTCGCTTTTACTAAAAATGCCCACGACCGAATATTAACCTTACTGATAGATCACACTTTTCCCCCCTTTATCTGAATGTCAATTTGACTCCCTTCCCCTTCCCCCCGCCATTCCTCAAGCTGTACAAAACATGCACAGTATTGTAGTCTGTTAGTGCATAAACCATCGAGAATTTTTATTTAATTTTGAAGACCGCTTCTTGGGTGTACGTATGTGAAATTGACAGAAACATCACAAGCAGCTTTAAAATTAGATTTTGGCCCATACATACAGCAACAAAGCTCAGCTTGCTCAAAGATACCAGATGAGATACTGTTCACTGAAATGATTTAAGCTTAGGCTTGAGTTTTCAAATGTAGACATTATTTCTATATTTGAGTATAAGGACCCGATCTGGCAATCAGTAGTCATGAGACTAGTCCCACTGACACCATGAGATGACTTGCATAAGGGATGCAGGATGATATGTATAGTTTTGCTAGCGAGAGCATATCCTAGTCATTAAAGTAGGAGATTCTTTAATTAGCATACATGTGAATCTTTATGGGGTTGGGATCTTAAATGTTTTACTTTTGTTTCTTTAGAGCATTACACTTGCTTGTAATGAATATAAAATGACGGTGCCTCCACCTGGCTGGCCTTGTACACACTCACTGGTGTGCCTTGAGAGCCTCCAGGAACATACTCATTCCAACATAAATCTGGATCTAATTCCAGAACAACTACAAGTCATATACATCTAATAGAATACTTTAAAATAAACAGTCTTTACTTAACTTAAATAAACAGGGATTAACAGATTTAGCAATGAATAGCATTAACAAAACACATAACAATCATTGAAGCTTATACAGCTAACATTTGTACTAACAGTGACCCCACCCCAGAGTGTGCACACCCCTGGACTCACAGTCCCAGACGCTTGCGTTGGCGCCTGGATGTTGCAGCTGTAGTGGAGATTCGGTCCAGGCTAGACAGCAGCTCTGTCCCAGGTAGCACTTTTTCAACAAGGCCCAAAAACTTACTGCCTCATGCTGTGCCTATCGGAAGCAGCCTGCTAAATCACAGTTCCAACAGGACTGTAGCTGCGCTCCAACAGCCCCTGGACTGGATCAATGTCCTTGGCAGCAGCCTGGCTCCCCTTCGGTTCCAAACTCCAAGGCAGAGTCCCAGACTGCTAGGCCTCTCTTCTCCATGCACATGGAGAGAGACATCTCCCGCACAAGAGTCCTTCCTTCCTGTTTTTCTTAAGGGCTTATGGGAATTGTAGTCTGGATTGCAGCACACAGAGTCTTTTCAAAAAAAACAGAGGCCCCTTTAGTAAGGGGACTACAACAAACCAGAATCAATACTAAGAATTACATTTTAAAAAGTCTTTCCGTTGCAGTAGTCTGCCATATACTTGCATCATAGTTAAGGAAATGAATTTGTTTAAACATGATCGCTAATGAAACACCATCTCCGACAAAATGTCCCTCCTTTATAACAGGGTGATTGTTACCATGTGTTCCCTTTTCTAGTATGACATCAGTGAAGATGACATTGAACCCAGTTTCAAAAAGCTTTTTGGGCAGTTGGCTGGCAAGGTGGGTATTTCTCTTCTATGTACTCTGATGCATTGTCTGTCCAGAGGGAGAGTGCAGGAATAGGCTGGGGGTGTGGGGTCTTGGCAGAGGTTGGTGCAAGAGCTGAATAGGGGTGCAGGGTCTGGGCATGAGGGGGCAGGAGACCCTTACTAGCTTTCGTGCCCCATGCCTTTCCCAGGCATCGTGTCTTAGGCACAGCCTTCTGCTGCTCCCATTGGCCAGATTCTGGCCAATGGGAGCAGTGGGGAAAGCATCTAGGCTGTGTGTCAGTGCACTTCTGTTTCCCTAGCCGGGAAAGGAGTGCGTAGAGTTGCTTCTGGCTCCACTTCTTCCTCACAAGATGGATCCAGCAGGGAACCTTGGGACTCCCTCCCTCCCCCCAAGGGAAGCCAGTGCTGGCACTCCAGCAGGGGAGGGGCAGGAAGGAGGCTGGAGCACCATCGTGGGCTTCCTGCTGTGGGAACCACAGTTTGAGAAGCACTGCCCTAACAGAGCCCCCTCCGGCTTACTTGGGAGACTATGGGGAGGTGCATTTGCACCCTTCGCACGCACGCCCCGTGTACGGGCCTGCGCTAATTCAAACCCTGGATGATCAACTGTGGCTGCTTCAATCTTATCTGTAGTGTAGATGTGGCCTTAGAGATTTGTCTCATTTTACAACAGACTACATAAAAAGCACTCGCAAAGTCAGAACAGACCAAAATTTCATACTGACAATGACTTGTTTATACTGCTCTACATCCTGTATTCTGAAATGTAAGCGCAAAATTTATATTCATTTGATTTATTTTAAGAATGAGAAAATGAGCCATTTTTCAGCAATAGTGTGCAGTGACACTTTTATTTGGATGTCTGATATTGTGAGTAAGGAATTTAAGTCAGGTGAAACTTGGGGGAGGGGGTCCACAAAACAAATCAGATTCCTGAAAGGGGTACGGTGGTCTGAAAAGGTGGAGAGCCACTGCCCTAGCTTACATCTGGAAAGCAGTGCAGAAGCAATGGAATCCAAACCTGCCCAGTGAGATCAGCGCAGGAAGGTTTCACAGGAAGAGTGGGGTTTATGGAGGGACTTGCAGTCCAAGAGCGTATTTGGAGATAGAGAAGTGATAGGAAATTTCACAGGTAAAAGCTAGATCTGGTAAACTCCTCAGGAGTCCTGAGCATGCCCAGGACCTGCTGTTAGCATATGAGATGCTCGCCAAATCTGCATTCTCTGCATTTTCCAAACATTGCAGAGTTTTTAATTTCATTTGTGCACATTTTATTCAGTCTCAATAAAGGCAGTAGCTCTTCTTGCTAACCCTCTCGCTCCCTGTTATATAGTTTCCATATCTGACTTGGCTCATGGTGACTTGTTTGTTACAACTATGTTGTTACATTCCCATAGGATGCAGAGATCTCTGCTTTTGAATTATGCAATATCCTGAGAAAAATCATGGCTAAACGTAAGTGTCTTCTTTCCTCTCCTCTGAGAATGTGTTTACTCTGATCGCCAGCAGCAGGTTAGGGACACAGGTGCATACATAGATCCCAGTCCTGTGCTTCACAGAGTTCTCCAACTAGTTGCTGAGACTACACCCTCCAGAGCGTAGGTGAAACTTTTGGCCCTTTGAGTTCAGGAGTGCTTACCATACCTGCTTGAATGAGGAATATGCCTACCTGTGCACAAGTGTGTGTATAGGGTTTGTTGGATCTGGCTTGTCAGATGGAAGCATGTTGAACTGGTTAGCTCAAGGGATTGCTAATGAACAAGAATGTCACTTCCTTTCAATGGTTTTGACTTCTTTCTAGATTGATACTATTGTGAAATAATCATATTATATAATCACTGCCAAAACCCATGGGCAGACATGCTGCTGTATTCTGAACAAGAAACCCTTCAGAAACTTTACTATGAGTGAATTACAATGAGCAAGGTTGGTACCAAGTGCCAAAAGGGCATAAACTGCTGTTGCCAGACTCTGTTCACCAGGGTTAGTCCCTGGCAGGCCGCTGCTGCTGTATTTATCTGCACATTCCACAGGTACAGGCTCTTGACGCTCCTATTGGCCTTGGATCACCATTGCCAGCCAGTGGGAGCTACAAAAAGTGGTGTCCTAGGCCATGCTGTTTCCACAGCTCCCATTGGCTGGGAATGGCAATCCATGACCAACAGGAACTGCAAGCACCTGTACCTGTAGAGGCGCAAGTAAATATAGCAGAGACAGCCTGCCAGGGGCTAACCCTGGTGAATCGTCTCAGTCTTATTGCCCATTCCTGCCCTCGTATCTACTGTAGGCACATGCTAGGTCCTTTGTTGAGGGAGAGCAGGTTCCAGCAGCAGAGAAGGCAGCTTTCACTAGGCGGGCCCACAAGGAGAGACAAGATTGGGAGATGATCGGATTCTCTGGCCCTAAGCTATCCTCCTAACACCACATACTTACCTTTCTGACTTCACACCAGTCACTTAAAAATTAACCAGTCCCCTGGAAATGTCCAGCTGAGAACTAGCCAGTTTTCTAGGATTAAAATTACAGTTGGTGAGAGCTTGAAGTAGCTCCTAGTTCAGTGGGTAGCACCGCTTGCATTGTAGCATATGTATTGACCCTGCGCTTAGTATAGTCTTGTCCTCTAGTAGTTGCTCCACAGAAAAGATAAGAGTCTTGCTAACAACAGCTAAAGGAATTTCACTTTAGTTCAAGCAGTAGAGCCTTGCATTTTGGGAGCTGAAGGCCTAAGGGTTCTGTTAATGGCTGCCTGCAGTGCATTAGCTGCCCCCAATGGATCCAGCTCCAAGTATAGAATGAGTGACGCATCAAACTAGAGATGGCTCATTGCCCCATCTAAGCCCAAAGGAAGGGTTCCGGCAGAGACACTGAATTACTGGTTGTTGAACAGCAGACGTAGTAGAAAAGACGTTCTAGAATTGAGCCTTCTTGGAATGAGTTGTTGTTCTGTACAGCATTAAACACATCCAAACATCGCTGGGTTCCAAAGCACTGTTCACTAGCTATATATACAAACCTGCAAGATGGCTACGTATTGACACTGCTGTTCTGGCTAGGGTCTGATAGCTTCTGCACTTGAAGACAAGGAGACCCACTAGAGGGCTCCCAAACAAAAGAGTTACTATCCAATTCCTATACACGTCCATGTGTAACAAAACCTGCCTTTTGTCTTCTCTCCTTACAGGCCAAGATATTAAATCAGATGGCTTCAGTATTGAGACATGTAAAATAATGGTCGATCTGTTAGATGTATCCTTCAGTTGGATTAGCTAGTTTGTGGTCCTCTACAATCTAGTGGGGGAGTGGGGTGTTCATATCCAACCATCCTTTCCTTCCAGCAACCCCTACAAGAGGGAGGGAGGCTAAATCTGCTTGTGACTGCCACCTTTTAAAGGCTCTCCTGCATAGAGACGCTACATGTTAATAGTACTGCCAGGTAATGATGAATCTACAGTATCTCTAGCAGTAAAAGCCTGGGTTTTTTAGAGCAGAAGGTCCAGTCTGAATTCCATCCTTGCTGCTATACTTGTGGCCTGACCGGCCACAGTGAATATGCCTATAAAAATATCAGTTCCCAATATGGCATCATTAGCATCAGCTCATGTAGAGGTCCTAAACATGCATAGCAGAAGGGAAGAAATGAAGTATGTTCAATCGTGTGGGATGCAGACCCCTCCCATGTCCGATTTGGTGAGAGAATTGTAAAAGTCACAAAGATTTCACAGTTGGAAACAAATGAGAAGCACAGCCCCAGAACTTCTCCCCAGATCTGACTTTTTTTTTCGGAGCTCCACACCCTATGAATAAATCTATAGTGATGATAGGTAACTCAGAGTTAGTGCTCCGCATAAGCCGCTGCTCTAGCATGGCTGAAATAGTACGGCCTCCAAACCTGTCTTTCCGCAGGGCTCTACTGACCCCAAGAGAGGCAGCTGCATGGAAGAGTGGGGGGCAGCAGAGCTGCTCCTTTGCCTGCTGTGGTTCTGGAGACTCTGCCGCCTCAGGTGCCAGACTGTGAGAGGGCACCACTAGGACCCTGGCTGTGTCTACACTGGTGCGATCTTGTAAAGCCCTATTTCAAACTACCTGTTATTCCTCCTGCAATAAGGTTTAACAGGTAGTTTGAAATAGGGCTTTACAAGATCGCACCAGTGTAGACACAGCCAGGGTCCTAGTGGTGCCCTCTCACAGTCTGGCACCTGAGGCGGCAGAGTCTCCAGAACCACAGCAGGCAAAGGAGCAGCTCTGCTGCCCCCCACTCTTCCATGCAGCTGCCTCTCTTGGGGTCAGTAGAGCCCTGCGGAAAGACAGGTTTGGAGGCCGTACTATTTCAGCCATGCTAGAGCAGCGGCTTATGCGGAGCACTAACTCTTGGGAGCGACTGCCAGAGGTGCCGGCTCCATGAGTGCTTCAGGGATGGAGTATTCACAGGGAAATATGAGTGGGTGCTGAGCCAGATCCCCCTTCAGTCCCCTTCTCCCAGCACCTCTTGCCTGCTGGTGGCCCGCCTCCCCCCAGCAATTCTGGAGCTCTCTGAATCAGCTGATTGGCAGTGTTCGGGAAGCTCCAGGAGGGAGGAGGATTGGGGCCCGGGAAGAGGCAGGGTGGGGGCTTGAGCGAAGGGGTGGAGCAGGGGCAGAATGTGCACTTCCTGGCTAGAGGGCAAGTGGCACCTATGGCAGCTCCCTTCTGCTCCTTTCCCTCTAGCGGTTCCCAGGAGAGGGGAGGAGGCAGCCATTGCCAGGAGCCAGCACTCTGAACAGCAGTTCCTGCAGCACAACTCTACTGACACCGCCCCCAGCCCTGTCCTCTGGTGGGGCTGTACAAGCAGACCACAGGAGACATAGCTGCCTGGAAGGGCTGGAGTGGGACAGCTGGGCCAGAGGAGGCACAGTCTCTTGTTCTGCTCCTTGAATGTGCCCCCCAGGCATCTGGGGAGAGCACCTGGCCTTTCTTTCCCCTCCATGTGTCGCCTCTTGTTCCTTGTAAAATGTGGTGATAGAGCCCAGGAGGCCACTCTTGTTGTCATGGTAACAGAGACAGACAGTGATGTTAGGATTCTATTGTTGAGGATTTTCTAAAGCATTAATCATTTGGTAAATAGCTGCCCTTGCTCTTGGTTATGTGTCTGTTTAGAATACAAACATATTATGACTCAGATTCTCAAAAATGGCTGAACCACTAGTGTGGATGAACTGGCATCCTCTGTCCACCTGCTGACCCATACAAGGAACTGAAAAGGCCTGAGAAAGTATTCAGAGGTTCAGATTAATCCATTCAATCTTGCTGAATTAGAAACTTCCTCCATTTCTTCAAGTTGTGTTTCAGAGTCCCTTTATCCTGCAGGAGGAGCACCACCAATAAGCCAGGCATCACAAGATGATATGCATCCTTCTCTAAAGGGAACATCAGAAAATTAGTGTTGAGATTATTCTAAAGCAAACCTAATGTAGGGGAGGGAAAACCTTTCTTTCCTGCCAACCAAAGAGGTTGCCTTAACTCATCCTGCAGTCTGATGGAAGTGGTAAACTGGGACTGAAGGAATTCCACATACTTTGGACAAAGATACAGAAATACCAAGTAAGATATGACCTCTGTATAAGTGAGCATGTGGTATATTACTCATATGGATAATATGAGTCTGTTTACTATACTAATACTAATAATAATATGGTCTGTTTACTATACTATATGATATGGGTGTAAATCTATATGGCTGTGGGTGTAAATCTATATGTATATTGTGGGTACGGTGTATCTCTATGGGCAGTCCTGAGCACATGTTGTTAAACAGAAAGGTTGCGTTCTTCACTAAAACCGGCTTCCCTGCCCTGTTCTGAGAGCTACTGAACTGTCTGCACTTCCACTAAGTCAGTGGGGAGCAGGGGACCCTCAGAAGAGGCACATGGCATTTTGCAGGATGGGGCTCAATAGGACCAGAGAGCAGTACAAGGGCAGCATCTCCACTAACGCACCTTCCCCAGTGCATCTGCTGTTGTGCTGTATTGTGAAGACAAGCCCCAGGAGCTGTCTTCTAACTGACTGCTAATTATTTCAACCCCCAACTCCATTGTAGAGGCTAGTAAAGTTGGTTTCATTTCTCAGCAAAGCACAGATCCTGCTTTCGACAGGAATTTCTCTGACTTCTGTCTGAAGCGAAAATAGCCAGCTCTGTATGATCAACAAGCTCCGACACTGGGTTTTGTGTTTTACAGAAAATCTACAGGGAAATAGACGTTGATCGCTCTGGTACCATGAACTCCTACGAGATGCGGAGAGCATTAGAAGAAGCAGGTACTTCTGTTCCCCTATTGCTGTATTACCCAATATTTATCTGCCCATGTACAGGGTTAGGCCAGTTCAAGCCCCTCTTCTACACCAAGAATCAAAGTCAGTAGGTGCTGGTGTAAATACAGGGTACCATTCCAGTGATCGAAGCCAGCTTCCCTGGTAAAGATCACTGAAATGGTTACACTGTATTTAGATCACATCTTCTGTGGTGGCTGGCCACAGGCACTAACAGTTTGTTACCAATTGCTAAAGGAGTCTTGTGCTACTAATGCTAAAGGCTGTGGATTCTGTTCCCACTGGCTAGCCATGTTATCTGGTTATATGCAGCCACACGGTCACATTAAAAACAACTCAGAGCAATGAATTCCTGTTTGAGATTATTCTCACTTAGGACCTGGCACAGTAGGATCACGAGCAGGCCATTAACAGCCAGGATCCATAGGCTGACATCCTTTAGTGACAGAATTGGCCATGGGGAGAAACTGAGGCACAAAAAGGAAAGTGCCTCGCTCAAGGTCACCCAGCAGATCAGTGGCAGAGCTATAAATAGAAGCCAGGCTTCCTGAGTTTCAGTCCAGTGCTCTGTGTAAAGGATTCTTATGGCCACTGCACAATGACTACAAGGGGAGTAAAATATAGACACGAGGTTACCACCATGAATGTAGCCGTAGGCTGTGTCTACACTGGTGCGATCTTGCGCCAAAGTAGCCGCTCTTGCACAAAAACTTGCTGCCTGTCTACACTGGCCGTGTGTTCTTGCGCAAGTAAGCTGATGTTCTACTGTATGAAATCAGGGCTTCTTGCACAAGAACTCTGATGCTCCCGCTCAGGAATAAGCCCTTTTGTGCAACTGTTCTTGCGCAAGAGGCCAGTGTAGACAGGCAACATGAATTTCTTGCACAAGAAAGCCCTATGGTTAAAATGGCCATCAGAGCTTTCCTGCGCAAGAGAGCGTCTACACTGGCATGGATGCTCTTGCACAAAAGCACATCTTTTGCGCAAAAGCACATGCCAGTGTAGACACTCTGTTCTGGAAGAGTTTTTGCACAAGAACTCTTCCGCAAGAGTTCTTACACAAGAAGCTGCCAGTGTAGACGTAGCCTTACAGTGAGACAAGCCCACAAGTCAACTGACACTTGGACAAAACTCATAAAAGCACGACATCCACTGGCGTTCTCAATGCCACAGCTGCATGCTAGAAACAAACATCAGCACAGCACAGCACAGCACAGCACAATTATCCTGCAAACCAGCTTCAGCAGTGAAAGTACATACTGTAGGTGGGCTTAAGAGCTAGAGTATGAATGATGATCTGAACTGCTGGAGAGCGTCACAAAGGTGCAAAGCCACAGGTCCTGACAACAGTCCCCATGGCTCCCTCCCAGAGCAACCCCAGTCATCCTCACCTGCTGCTGTTTGTATGGGTAAGACCGGATAGCAGAGTTTGGCTTCCTTGGTCCAATAGGCAGCCCTTCTATGCCCCTCAAATTCTGCATGATCTTTGGGTAAGGCTGCCTGCACACTTACTACAGTACAGAGTTACTCCTTACCACCATTTTTCCGTGACTAGTCCACAGATGCAGTCACTCCCTCTAAGACTGTGAATCAGAATGGGTTCTGCTAGCCCTCCTGAGCACATGGAGTAGGCTCACCCGATCTGAACTCATGCCAAACAACTTAGAAAGGACCACTGATAAAGTAAAAAGGAGACATGACCCATAGCGACCAACAAGCTCAATAGTTAAAAAAACTGATACAGAAATGTGACCAAGTAACCAGTATAGATATGAACATTTTTCGGCATTGCTCCTATTGTGCATTTTGTAATCTTAAACCAAAACGTGCAGGTTGCTCCTGTTACATCACCACCACCTGATTGCATTGTTAGCTGGCCAAATGTTTTCACCTTTTATTCTGCTCACTAGGGTTCAAACTGACTTGCCAGCTGCACCAAGTCATTGTGGCTCGTTTTGCAGATGAGCAGCTTATCATCGACTTCGATAATTTTGTCAGGTGCTTGATTCGGCTGGAAACTTTGTTCAGTGAGTATTTTCTTAGCAAATCTTTACGCTGTAAAGGAGCCCCTTGCCTAGCTATGTCAGGTAAGCCCCAGACTCATAAGGGAGGTTTAGTCATGAAAGGGTTTAGCATCTAGTCATCCTGCTGCCTGATGGAATTCACATCCCTAAGTTAAGTTCCCAGGCTTTCTAGACCATGCAGGGGGGAAATTAGGTACCTAAAAATAGGATTTACAGAAGCCAGCATGCTGAGTGGGGTCTATCAGTCTCATCTGTTGAAATTGTTCCACTTGTTATGAAATACTGCATCATAGGGCCAGAAGCATGAGAGTGACTTGTTAGTCAGTGATTGCATCTGGTAAGGAGATGACCAAGGTTTAAGTCCCAGCCATGAACCAGACAGACAGAGTGAAAATTTGAACCCTCCTCTCAGATCTCTTGGAGGAAGGCTTTAACCGCTTAGCTTTGATGGGAGAGGGAGGAGAGGATGCATACCACCTCTGCCATGTTTTGTGCAGGACTCAATCCAGTAGGTGCATTCTTAGGTGCCAGTGTGAGCATATTGGCAAGATAGATGTGAGAATACCTTGCTTGTGAATTGTTGTGGGACTTACACCCGAGTTAGGCACCCGACTGCTAAGTGGTGTCAGGCCTTAGCTGGTTTTGCACATGCTTACCGGCAGCAATTTAGAGATCATGCAAACTTACTACTTAGCCAGCATAGACCTATAGGAGCCTCAAGGGTTAAGTAGCAACCGAGTTCAGGTTTTCTGAATGCTTGTGGTGGTTAAATGTTGGCCTTATATGGCAGTTGGACACCTCCATGTCCCTAGTTAATGGCACATCCAGGACTAACATGACAAAAATAGAAAGCACTTCCACTCACGGTAACAGGTTTAAAAGTTTTCATTGACAACTCTCCTTATCACTGTTCTAAACATACATTGGACCATAAAATAATTTTTCAAACAATTTAACATTAGAGTCTTTATGTTGCTTTTTTCATTTCACTCAGCTTGAGCTAAGCAGCCACTAGTTTTCATGCACTAGGACAAAACTGTACTGTTTTTGCTGTAAATAGTGGACAGTTTTTAATAAAGGAAACAGCTTTGATGCAATTCCTCTTGGTTTGGTTTTGTCAATGGTTGTTTTCATAAACTCTAAATTTCCCCTTTTAAATCTGACACAAACATTCATAGTCAAGACAAAGGGCTAATTCAGATTCTGGTTCTTGCTGCTTTCTTCAAACACATAGCTTGTTTCTCTCTTCTCCACAATAGAAATATTCAAGAAACTGGATGTTGAGAAAAGTGGAACAGTGGAGTTGAATCTGAACACTCACTGTAAGTTAATAAGTCTGTGTTGGTTCAGCATTACAGACCTGTGGCTTGCTGAGATGATTTTGGAGAAAAATGCTGATTCAATTCTAAAAGCTGTTTGCCTGGATTCTAGACCCTGGGGATGGTTGGTGCACTCTGTAGTGTTCCATTTTCATGCAGTGTTGAGAATCTAAACACAAGTAAGATATTGGTATCTTCTGTGCTTAGTGTTTTTGTGCATGTGATTAAAGAAGGTAAATCACTTGCTAATCCACTTGTATTATTCTCTACTTCCCATTTTGGCCTCTTCCAGTCAGGGATGCTGGAACAATTTGTATAGTGGGGCCTTTGAGAGCCATTGAACCAAACTGTGTAAACCCTGCATATAATGGAAGCCATTTGAAGTCATGGCATGTGGCCGCACCCTCACCATCTATACTTCTAGTTAATTAAACCTATGATATATTTGAGTTTGTCTGTATGTCTGTCCAAGAACTCCTCCTAAATAAGAGCTAGGACCACCAAATTCAGTATAGATCTTCCTCTTACCATAACTAAACCATGGCAAGGGTTTGGTTGTGCCAGGAAATTGGGATGTGCCTGGAATGGATTGCTACTCAGAAAACCATATAGAGAAAGAGAGTCATCAGACAGGCAAAATGGGTGCCGCCCCCCCTTCCAGGACAGCCCAAGCCTCCCACTTGCAAGGTGCCCTTTTAGGGAGGACGGGATGGGGGGTGAAGCTCCCCCACCTCCAAATTTGTATAGGTACTGTACTGGCTGTTCCTCCTTGCTCCCTGATGAAGGGGAAGTGCAGTTTGTTGTATTCCTCATGCTGGATGGGGAGCAAAGGGATGATCTTGGACTTGCTCCAGCTGAGAACATGTACCCTTCCCCTGGCTGTGCCTGCTGTAGCTGCAACAGCCATGTAAAGGCACTTGTCACCTGACCCCAAGCTGCTGCAGTGAGAGAGGGCTGGGGTAGTCCTCTCTCTGCAGGACAGCCTGCATCCTGAACCCCTCTTCCCCAGCCCCCACCCAGAGAAATGATTTAAATGAAGGATGGACATTTTCATTTTATTTTTTAAAAAACAAAAAATTGAGCTAAGGACCCAAGCACCACCAAGTAAATCTTCTGGTAACCTTCTCTTTTACTGGGGTGAATTTCAGTGGCAGCCAGTTCTCCCGTTTCCTATTCTCTCCCCCCCCCCCCCCCCCCCATCAGTAGGTCCATCTTCCCACAGCATCCTCCTTTACCCAACCCCTATAATTTTATTCTCTAGTACTTCTATTCTTCTTCAAAGGGGATTCAGCTAATGTAAAGTAAGGCTACTTTACTTCTGAATGAGAATGTGCACCTGGGTTTATTGCACTTCCCAGCTCTAGTTAATTCATATTAATTAATATCCCTGTAGAAATGAGTTCAGTGTATGAGAGAAACTAATGTTGCTCCCTGTAATTTGAATGATGTTTGCAGTAGTGTTGTCATCTGCAGTTGACATAATCAGGTTACATTACAACCAGAGAAGAATTGAAGTTGGTTAATTATAAAAAGCGTTTACAGTTCAGCCCATAGTTACATGAACATTTCCTGGCACATCAGTGAATAGGGATGCAATTGATAACACATAGAATAAATGTTATATGTATTTGTAACCCAGACCAACTCTACAGTTGTCAGGCATTGAGGAAACCTCCCACAAGGTCTTCTGTAGGAATAGATTTGCCTTCTTTACACTAAATGGCTACGTCTACACTGGCATGAATTTCCGAAAATGTGTTTAACGGAAAAGTTTTCCATTAAAAGCATTTTCGGAAAAGTGCATCTAGATTGGCAGGATGCTTTTCCGCAAAAGCACTTTTTGCGAAAAAGCATCCGTGTTCCGCAAAAAAGCCCCGATCGCCTTTTTCACTATCGGGGCTTTTTTGCGGAAAACAGTACTATGCTGTCTACACTGGCCCTTTTGGGCAAAAGTCTTTCGGAAAAAGACTTTTGCCTGAACGGGAACAGCATAGTTTTTCCAGAAAAGCACTGATGATTTTACATGAGATCATCAGTGCTTTTCCAGAAATTCAAGTGGCCAGTGTAGACAGCTGGCAAATTTTTCCAGAAAAGCGGCTGATTTTCTGGAAAAACTTGCCAGTCTAGACACAGCCATAATGTTCTTGTCCAGACCCCATATATAACATGTTATCTTGCTAAACTTGCACTGTGCTTCATTTTGTACAGCAGGTGAGAACAGTCTTTAATTCATGTTCTTCCTTCTCTCCACTAGTGGTTGTGTTTTACTTTCATCTGAAGTTATAACTGACCTCAACTGCAGACATCTCATGAAATCAAGAGAATGGAACGCTTTCATACATCTTGCAAGGACACCCCAACTCTTCCATATGTTTATAAAGAGATGTTTAAACTAGTGCGTAGGAGGGGATGGGCAGAATATTTTGAAATACCTGAATGACCAAAACTCCAAGAACATAAAAGCTTTCAATCTCATTATGCATACCCACAGACTGGGTAGTTTTAACTACCTTAGAGCTTTCCCATGGAGGTTACCCAACTCTGTATATAATTCTTCAGTTCTGTTTGACAATTTTGCTTACTTTTACATTTAATCAAGGAGATAAAGTGCAATTAAATGTGTCTTCTGAGGAACAGCAGTTTTCACTGTAAATTAGAAAAATGTATTTTAAAATGAAGTTTGTAATTCATTGACATTTTAAGCTGCTAGGAAGTGGTGGCCATCTTTATTTAAGAGAGACAAAAAAGGCAGGTCTGAATAGAAGCAGCAATAGAGGCCCAGTGCGCTTCAGTTTTTCCACTTAGATAGAAATTTTGAAATCAGAACAATGTTATGTTTTAAACACAGGCAATGTTGCCTTTTAAATAAGTGGCAGCCCAGTGGATAAACTGATTATTGTAATCTTGCCACGCCTTAAATGCAATGGTAATCTTGTTTCATCTATTCTTTCAAGGACTGGATTAAGTAATTCTATGCCAGTTTGACCAGCAGGAAACTATACACATTAGAGAGGACAAGATCCTACCAATCTTGACATGAATTCATGCCAGAGGATTGCTATCAGCAAGATCTGTTTCAGTCACCAAAGACTTCAAGGAGAAACAAGTGCTGCCACGTATGGTAGGGACCATCAGTGGTTATGAATTATAAAAAAATAAAACCTCTTAAACCTTACCTTGCATTAATTTTGGAAAGAACGTAACAAGATATTTCTATTGTCTTCACCTCTCACAAGTACTGATTTAAATAAAGACAGGGCTGGCCCAGGCAGAAGGTGTTTCTTTGTAATGGGGATTAGTTAGGTATATAAAGCCCTGATCGTCTGCAACATTTTCTATATGCTGTGTATTTCTTGGGCAGTCACACTACATGTTTCTTGAAGGGTACTGTAGAAAGCAATGCTGATATACACAGGAAAGGCGCTCCATTTTTATAGAAGTGCTACACTGCAAACTGAAGGCATGAAATTAACAAGTATCCAATATTAAAAGCATAAGTGTGAGATTAACAGGTTTCACAGTCATGACCAAGTGGCATTTTGTCAGCTAAATTAGCTCAGCAATTATGCGGTGGTATTGAGCAAGACTTTTCTACTGAAAGCCCCCGTGTGTGGGTGTGTCTTTTTGACTGGCACTCCTAATTATCCAGCAAGGGTCTGAGAGCAGCAACCTGTGCCCTGATGGCCAGCAGGTTTGATTATTGAAATTTCTGCCTACCAAAGATTCCAACAGTGCTCCCATTGTTGCTTGCATTAGGTTCCATGTGCAGCCATACAACTGGTCACTGGTTCAAGCAATTATACTCATTACTCAAAAACTAGCTAAACAGCTGTATCGCAGCAAACCTGTGTTGGTCCTAGACATGACAAGCACTTTTGCCCAGTGCCATTCCCCCGAGCTGTCTAATGCCACATGCTCATGTCAGTCTGACAAACCTTTTCAATGAACCAAGCCAGTGAGAGATCACACTTTCACAGGGCCCCATACAGAACAATTCCCAAACCCTGAACTGTAGGTGAAAGATCACACTGCAGTGTGATCAGAGAACTCTTTCAGTTTGTATTTGTAGATTGCAATGATTACGTGAGGCCATAAATTGCATGACCTTTCGTACAAGGGAAGGCTACTGATCCTTAAGTTTTACTGACATGTCTTCAACAAAACTCTGACTAGTACAGCAATATCTCGTATAAGATTATCATGGTGGAAAAAACTAGCTAGAAATAATTCTGCTGTAAAAGTTTCCATTTAAAAATATATCTGTATGGAGTCGTTCCATTAAGCCAAGTCAAACAGATCTAGTCACTTATAACCTTCATGTTATTTCTAGAGCTAATAAGGGCTACAGTTTGCACAGCAGGTGCAGAACATTATTTTGAGATGAAAACTATACGTCAAAAGAATGGGTTTCTACACTGAATGTACTAAATAAATAAATAAATATTGGCACATTCTAGGATGTTAACATGTATTGTGTTTATGTATTTGCATAACAGGCTGAGAGGTCTCAATGATGTATTAATGCCGATGATGTCAGGGATAGTGACACTAAAGAGTTAAAACTTAAGAGGAAACACCATTTTAATCATATCACAATTAACAAAAATAAGATACAATTATAACAAAGTTTGAGTTTTAAAGGCTACAGAAAGTTTCTAAGCTTAATTGTCAGTTACAAAAGACAATAAATACAGAACTTATTTTTTGTAAAAACAAGATTCTAAAACTACCTCTGATATAGCACAAAGTGTTTTGAATACATGGAATTCCTAAGATGCTACAGCATTTTATCATTATTGCTCAATGGACTAGTCAAAACGTTCTTCACTGTTAGACACACTATTTTATCTTCATACTACTTTAACAAACACTTTGCTTACAGAAATGTGCTCTCTGTGTGGGTAGCTCAGATGACTAATTTCCTCCACTAGGAACAAAGCCAAAGCCAGATTTGGAATAAGAGAGTTGTGTGGAACATTAACTCCCTTCACGGATACTGAAAAGTTCACTGCATTTCATGCAGGACATTAAAAAAAAGTGAATTCTGTTCCCGTGTACATATGTGCCATTTGAAAAACAGCAGAGTGGGCAGTAGTTGAATGTTAGGCTTGCGTAAGCCAGATGTAGCACAGTTCTGTTTGTTCATAAGCAGCATTTCAGCTTGTGGAATGTCCTCCTCCATTTGCAAATCCATTAATCCTTCATTTGTTTTCAAGCAAATTCTTCATTGCTTTCAAGTTACATTGTTATTTTAATAAGTCTCATTACATTGGAACTAAAGCAAAATGAATGATTTCTTTTATAGAAGTAACTTATGATTTGAACTTCATAACTCGGGATGCTGTGCAATTTCATGCCAAGCTTCTTTGCCTTGGTTTAATCCGTGGGTATAGCTGTGGGGGTGGAAAAGGAGGGAAAAGATTTTTAAAATAATAAAGGGGCAGAAATTCTCAAATGTACACAAGTATTTCCATCATGAATACCAAGAGCCACCAGGTTCTAATTATATAGTACATAAATAGCATTTCCAGAGGCAATTAAGAGAAGCAATGGCAAAACAAATTTTAAAATTTCTCCAGGCAAGCATAAAAATACCACAAGGATGTATCAATTGTGACAACACAGTAATACGAATGTCAAAAGCAGTAAATTGAAAAGCAAGCAATTCTAAAACGATCTAAGCCACTAGGAACAGTCAGCACTATTCAGATAGGCTGTCATGCAACAAGAAAAGCTTTGAGATCCAGTGATTGCTACTGTGCAGTGAGCTTCAGAAGGTATTTCTGTTCTATTTATAAACAAAAGAGGTCAGGGCTATCTGGTTTCATTCATCTCCATGCTCGTCAAACAGCCTTTGACTGGGAACAGGTAATCTGAAAAATCTACCTATATAATTGTCTGCTGACTGGTTCTGCCAGAACAGAATCAGCATGAAATTTCACATGCTTTGATCATTGGCTCTTGGTCACCACCACCCACCCCTTTAAATGCCAGGCCTTGAAACAGTCTAAGGTTTAAAAGCCCTTACACTCCAAACCAATTCTATATCCCTGTGTATCAGAATTTCAATGTCTGAATACAGGAAGTTCCTTCACAATGAATAAATGCTTCTGAAGAGAAAAACTGCAGACAGCCACCAGAACTCTCAAATTCATTTGGTCACTTTTCCATCAGCTGTGGTGTGAAATCAGATTTTAAAGCTACCAATAGATTGAATACATTAAAAATCTGACCCTTCCAAAAAAAGTTTGTTTTGCATAGACCAAGTCAGCAGCTGTATTATAATTATAGTTTGAAAACTTGTAGCCAGTATTTTGCTCCACTCATCCCATTCAGCAGAGTTCTCACATAGCGTGGTAAGTTTCATGACTGACAAGGTTCTAGCTGAAAAATTAAAAGTATTGAGAGGAAATTGATCATTTATCCTAGACTCACCAAATGCATTTAATCTTAAAGAGGAAAAGTAACTGTGAGATCATACAAATGAGAGACAATGTAAAACTACTGAACATCTTTCTCTGGGCTAAATGCACCCATGGCATTGCCTGAAACTTAGGCTCGGGTATCCAGTGTCTAAGCACTTCCTATTCAGAGACTAAGAAAAGATCATTTAATTATGAATACTTAATTAATTGAAGACTGAAGAGGCAGCACCAAAAATTTAATGGCAAGCATGTTTAATGATATGGTCTTCTACTCCTTCCAGGGAAGGAGACAAGAATGCCACTGAGGTTAGGCTCAAAATAGCTAACAAACTGGCAAAGGGTTACTGCTTTACAGTTTTTAAATGAACACAGGAGAAGAGAGGTATGTGTTCTCACACCTGTGCTCTTGCTCAGCCTTGAAGGTGTAACAAACAATCCAGACTGCATCACCAAGGCACAGTCTTCCATGGGGTTGAAAGATACATTTCAGTTATATACACACCACACAACTTGCAACAGCACAGCTGGGCCAAGAGCAGTTCCTGCCAAACAAACCACTGTCCACGCTGGCGCTTTTCATCATTAAATTTGTTCTTGTTTGTGGTGTTTTTTTTCACACCTCTGAGCAACAAGTTTTAACAATGAGTGCGCCAGTTTAGACAAAGCCTAAATTAGTTTCTCTTCCTGACCTCTTCACCACATGCCCCTAGAGTCTTTTCTTGAGCTGCTTCTTCATGGAGTGCTCCCTCTGTCTCCACAGTTTGGCATGAACAGTGAGCCCCTCCAGAAACTAATCAGAGTTGTCTCAATGCTGATGCTCCTAAACCAGCGATGTTCAGATCTCACTGGTTCCAGAAGCCAAATTGGTAATCAACATTACCCAAAGGAGCTATAATAGTGCATCTTCCAAGGTATTAATGCTGTTTGAGAAAGGACTGG